GAATTAAGCGATTCGGCTGGTTTGTGTGCTACATCTAAATCAAACGGTTTCACTATTCTAGCCGTTATTTCAGAGATATTTCTGATGTATGGTAGGATGAATTTCTTTTTGGTCTTTGGTGATTGTGCTTTGATTCGAATTTAAACACTTTTTGATGAAATTTTTTGGATAACCATTCTTCTTGAAGACCGTTCCTAAGTATTTTTCTTCCATTCTTTTCAACTCTGGTGTGCTACAATGTGTTTGAACTCTTCTAAACAATGTCTGCACACAGTTTCTTTTGTGAGTAATTGGATTATTGCTAGAATAGTTGAGTATTTGATCTGTGTGCGTTGATTTTCTATATACTTGTGTTTCTAAATTTCCTGTGTTGGTTCTCCTGATTAAGACATCTAAAAATGGGATTTTGTTATCTAATTCTTCTTCTCTTGTGAATTTGATGTCTTCAAATATATTGTTTATTAATTTATGGGTATATTCTAAATCATTTTTCTTAATTATTACAAATGTATCATCAACGTAGCGTACCCAGATTTTCGGTTTTATTATAGGTAGAGCTATTAATTCTAATCTTTGCATAACGGCTTCAGCTATTAATCCTGATATGGGCTATCCCATTGGTGCTCCCTTTATTTGCTCATATATTTGAGTATTGCATTGAAAGTATGTTATAGGCATAATTTTATGAGTTCTATCCAAGTTGAACATTGCGTTTTTATGTTTTCATCACTATAGAGTAATTGTTGCATAGTTTCTGCTGCTAGTTTTGGACTAATTGAAGTATATAATGCTGTGACATCAAAGGATACCATTATTTTATTGTCTTCTACCTGAATGTTTTTGATTTTCTCTAAAAATTGGATTGACGAATTGATGGAATGGTCGCATGATTCTGTTAGGTAATTTAACTTCCTGAAGGGTTCTTTAGATAGATTATATGTTGGTGTTCCTGGAAGCGAGACGATTGGTCGTAAGGGGATGTTTGGTTTTTGTAGTTTCGGTCTACCATAGAATCGACGTAAAATAGGTCAGTTAGATCTCATTTGCCATTGATCTTGTTCTGTAATTTGTCCTGATTTCGTTAGTTTATTTTACGTTGTTCTGATTTTCTTATCGAATGTTTGTATACGGTTTTTTGTCAACTGTTGACATACATTATTATCTTTGAGTAAACCCTCTGCTTTCTTTATGTAGTCTTCTGTGTCCAGGATTACTGTTGTTCCTCCTTTATCAGCCGGTAGAATAACTATATCTTTTCTATTCTTCAGTTTCTTCAATGCATTTTTCTCTTCAGTGCTAAGTTGGGAATTATGTCTTTTTTGTTTGAGTATAGGTATGATACGTTGACGTATTTCTCGTTGTACTTCCTCATTCAATTTCGATAATTTGAATGATAATTCTAATGAAGCACAAAAATCTGTTACTGAGGTTTTACCAGTATTGTAGTTGAGTCCTTTCTGAAGAAGTTGTTCTTCGGCTTTCGATAATGGTTGTTTCGATAGATTCACTACGCAATCATTTAGAGTTTCTTCAGATGGTTGTTTGGATATCTTAGCTAGTTTTCCTTTGAGGACAACTCGTCTTCGCTCCTTGTGCCGTTCGCTTATCAATTTGATGACAGTATTCAATGTTGACAGATGTTCTGGGGTAAGAGTCTGTTCAAGCTTCTCTTTCTGAAATCTAGTCATGTGTTGACATTTTTTAATCCTATTGTGCGCATCCGTGATCATTAATTTCGCCATTTGTTTTCCATGTTGTTTGGCTAGCTTCCAGCCTAGAGGGCAGTTAATTGGTGGTTTATATTTGACAGAAGCTGGTAGGATCTGCTGGCGGAGACATTCATGAAGAAAGAATAGTTGTTCTTCCGTAGAAACTTGCCGTTTAGCAAAGTCTTCCCATTTTCGACAAAAAAGAAGCGTATCACGCTCGTAAGATTTTGAAATAATAGAAAAGATTTGCAACGCAGGTGAACGATTTGCAATTGTTAGTGTTTTCTCAGCTGGTTGGTTTAGTTGCGGAGCTTTGGTCGTCTTTCTGGACGGCATCTTCAGCGCAGTATTTAGCATAAAATAAAATGATTTAAAAATCTCCATGAATGATGATACAATTCCGTCTCCTGCTAAATACTGCGCTGAAGATGCCGTCCAGAAAGACGGCAAAAGCTCCGCAACTAAACCAACCAGCTCAGAGAACACTATTAATTGCAAATCATCCTCTTGTGTTACAAATCTTTTCTATTATACAGTGGTTCTATTAAACATTAGTGATTTCAAACTCAGATTCACCTCAACAATGCTATAGGTCAACTATTCAAGCAATGCATGTTTCTGAATACAGAACAAGCACTGTAAGTTCAACTGCGAAAGCTAGTTTCTACTCCTGGAGGATATTCAAAGCGAGGTGGGAATAAAGCTCAGTCCACAAGAATAGTACTTCAAGTCTTCCTGGAGTCAGTTCATACTCAGAATGACATTTTTGCACTCGAAATAGCTCTTACTGTTAGACAAATCGTCGACACAATCGCCAATATAACGGATTATCTTAAGTTCTTCCTCGATATATTCTGTCCCAAACAAACACTATTCAAACGCTTCGACCGCTTATCCTCTCCTCGTCTGAAACAACCACGCGGGAAAAGGAAACATTTTGTAAACTCAAAGATAAGTTAGGACTTAAGAAGATTAATGCCCAAATCAAATCTGAAATCAAAAATCTTATTACTGTGTATAATCATACACTCATCATGCAAATCAGCATGTGGAAACGTTTCAATGAAATTACTGGCAATAGTAAGCGATGAAATGTTTTTCCCCTCTTATGATGTTAATGCTCTTAATCAGTCTTTTATACGCACTCCTTGCACTATAACTACTTCTAACGTTAATAATCATGTAGCTGATAACTTTCATGACTTTAATACTCTCGATGTTCTAAAATGTCTTAGAACGCTAAAGCTCTTCTGTATCCTTGCACGTTGTACCTGTTCCATGGAAAGACATTAAAATAGTCCCTGTCCCTAAACCTGGAAATAGCAAGAACGTAAAGTTCAGACCCGTTGCCATCCCTTCCCCGTTTCTAAAGCTCATGGAAAAACGAGTACTTCTTAAACTCGAACCCTCCCTTAAAAGCTTCGAAGACCCCAAACAATTTGCCTACAGACAGGGTAGGAGTACTTTAGACGCTGCAGCCGTCTTACACAACAGTATCGTCTCATCATTAGATAAAGGTGCAAAATATGTCCGCTGCACGTTTCTTGACTTCACTTCTGCTTTCGACTCTGTACCTAGATGTCTCTTGCTAAATAAGCTCTCCATGACACAAACCGAGTCCTGGGTCACTAACTGGTTGCATTCCTACTTTTCAAACAGAATGCAGTACACTGTATACAAAGGCGAATCCTCCTCTGCTGTGCTCACTGAAGCTGGTGTCCCCCAAGGTGCTGTACTCTCCCCACTTCTCTTTTCATTCTTCCTACATGACCTACCATCTTCAAATGACATTAACTTTGTCAAATATGATGATGACCTAACTGTATCTTTACCTGCCAAATTTCAAAGTGACTGCTCTAAACTGAATGGTTTCTTATCAGAAATCAGCCAATGGTCCAAGGAAAACGGTCTCACCCTAAACCCCTCCAAATGCCAAACAGTTAATTTCACCTTTAGTCACAAATCTGACCTAAACAAACTGGTTAGCACTCACGAGGTGTGCAACATAGATTGCATTGAAATTGAAACCAAGTCGGATGTTAAATACCTAGGCGTCACTCTATCTTCCGATCTTTCCTGGTCGTCTCATATCTTGACGATTTCGAAGAAAATATTCCGTCTTACCTTCTACATCAAGAAGTTAAGACATTCTGGCATAACCCAACCCTTACTCCTTCAATTCGTTAACTCCCGTATTCTGCCTATTATTCTCTTTTTCTCCCCTTAGTTTTACCTGGGCTACTGAAGAAAGATTATACCTTATTACACAGGATGTTAAAGATTGTTAGTAGGGTAAGCAACGTGCCACTTAACCAGCTTGTTAATATTCTAGTTGACAGGCACTTGGACTCATGTGAAAAATGTGCTTAATCCATTTATCTTACTCACAACCCCCTCTTCATTCACAACTCTCCCCTTGTATCTCATCAGGCGAAACCAGAAGTCTATTTAGAAAACTATATGCTCGCATTAGCAAATACAATAAGTTGGGAGAGAGTTAATACGTTGTGAGGGGATAGAAAATAATACAATTAAAAACCGATAAACAAAATCTTCTTACTTGATGTGGGGTAGATCAGGTTCATTAAAGATTTATTGACTGAACAAACGTCTTTGTTATGACCAGCTCAGCATTGAACAAGTGAATCGATATTGCTTTGGCGGTTTGAGGAATTTGATTTGTACCTCTTTAGTGGTTGCTATCCAAACGTATCTACGAAGACTTGTTCACATGGTTTCAGATAAAAGGTAGGAAGATCCTCGCCTTCCAAAACTCTGTTCTGCAACACTTGATCAAATCTAAACACAAGCCTTACCCACGAATGAACTTTGAAAGTAACTACAAAACACGTGGAAATCTCGTTCAAGGAGTACAAAATATTTAATGAAATGATTGGGATGGCTTGTGTGCTGTATCTACGGTCCTAATATTCTAGATGTTATTTCAGAGATATTGTTTTATATATGGAAGAATTTTCTTGTATTCTTTGGTGATCGTTTCTTGTAGTGTCGAAGTTTTGGTTTTAAACAGGTTTAGGTGAAATTTTGAGGGTATTCATTCTTAAAGAAGACGGTTAGTAGGTATTTTTCTTCCATTCTCTTCAACAGTGTGTTTGAACTCTTTTTAACCGTGTTTGTAAACCGAAAGATCCAACAGAGAATGAAAATAAATTATTATCAATTACAAAATAAATTTTATGAAGTTTAACAGACATTACATTGGCCAAAGTGGGCGTCCCCTTCGAATCAGAATCCAGGATCACAAATTACCTGTAAAAGGTTAATAGGCATAATCTTTCATATAAGTGCATAGAGATAATTGTGGACACCATTTTGATTGGGAAAACGCCGAAATTTTAAAAACATAAAAAAATGCAGAAACTATTAGAGAATTCCAATAAACATGGTACTCGAGTGAATCAGCGGTTAACAAACATAATAATACGAACTAAATGACTCACTGCTGACATTTATCTCTGTAATGGTCAATCCAATATCAAGATTTTGCGTGAATGTCAAAGGTTTCATGGTAAGTGGAAAGGAGGTCCGTTTTAGTGTTAATGATCCATACTAATGTTCATTAGCAGTTATCATGGATAATTCTGATTACCGAAGCAAACTGCAGGCGTTAATTAGTGTAAAAAAGCGTTGTTTTGAAGTGCGTTATTCTCGCATTACCAGGCTAACTTGAGTGAAGTATATTTAGCCAAAGGCAGCTGACATTCATATTCCATTTAATGCTTTATTCGTGGAGTCCTGTCATGTTTGGATACGGTTCGTTGGAAGCAATGAAAAAGAAAAGGGTTAGATTCTTTGTTACGTCTACCATATAAAAGACCACATCTGGTGACACAGAAATAGATTTTAAAATTCACACTCCTCAAGACTTTTTCCAGAAGTTGGTTACTTGCATTGAAATGTGAGTCAATGTAGTTTTCCACATAGAACATTTCATTTCAGTTTATAACAACTATTCAAAGACAGGCCTGGATGCATTGCACTAGTTATTGACTAATGTTTAGTCAAAAATAACCAATATAGTCCTACAGGAGATAACTTACGAGCCCGACTAGCTCAGCAAAAATGCCCAGGACGCTGGTTTGAATCTCAGAATTGACATGAGTTTCTTCACGACTGCGGGTACGCCTTGCTGACGACTGTCAACAAGAATTAAACTTAGGTCCAAAGCTTCCTGAAAATTCCCTTCAACTATCTTATACTTAGAACGAAACACTCAAAACACCTGTCAAACTGTCAAATCGGGAACATCGGAAGAATTGACGGAGGTTTCAGATTAAAGTTGCTAATCACCTATGAAATAAAGATTTTTTTCTGTGAATTCAACATCCATACGATTTTTAAGCTGTCAAATAAATTAATCGAATTGTTATTCTGAAATTATCTATACTCGTATTTAGGAATCTGCTTTAAAACAATTTAAGTATTTGTTTTGATGATCATACCGAGTCCTAGATAACTTAAAAAGCGAAAATGGACGAAAATTCCAAGGTCTGAGATAAAAGCTAAAATGCTTATTCATAGAATTAAAAATTTCTACTTAATTCTGAAGGAATTAGTCTTCGAAAATAAGGCAGATTAGATGATTATTGAAAGTGTTACAAAGACTAACATCAAGTACATTATTTCTACATGTGTAGTGGTTTGGATGACATGACTACTATAATATGCTCAGCAAACATGCATGTCTGCAATGTTATGGTTTTCTCACAGTACAACTAATTAGAAGACCACTTGAGAAACGTTATATTTTGGTCTATGTGTGTGTGTTCGTGTGATATTGTTTCAGACAACAGTTACATAATAATCATGCAAGTTTATCTGTCAGCTTTTGTTACCGTGACATTATTATGTGTGATTTGAAACCGACATTATTTGTAACGAGCATTCAAAAGTATAAAACATCATCGTGATGATTTTCTGATACACCAGTTTCATTATATCCTTCGGCAGTATACAGTAGAATTTTCGTGGCAGCCTTTATCCTTAAAGAAAAGATTAAGGAGTATTTCCAGGTAATAATGCATCCACGACACTTGGTATTGGTCTGACATTGGTAGCAGTCCCAAAGATGAACCACGCATTTTCCAAGAGTAATGTGTCATCTGATATATTCGAATTCAAGCTTCCGGTTTTCAAACATTTTTTCCGAATCCCGCCAAGATAATTTGTCGCTTGTGGTTATGCATAAGGAGCAAGTGAAAAGAGCATCGCATCCCTCCATGGCTTCGCATCTTACAGGGTTAGTACGTGAATCTCCTGAGGAGACATCGCGATAATTCTGTTATCATATTTATTCTTTGTACACTGTAGATTTTATTAGAGTCTTTCTGGTCGCCTGCTCTGAATAGATCCTTGCATTTTCGAACTATATTAGCATGGTTTCTGGCTTTAGCTTTTGTTGTGACGGCACTCATCATTGAATATAAAGTGGTGAGGAGGAGAAAGAAGAGTAGCATCATACCACCGGCTACGGTTGAAGGAATGACATAGCTGGCTATCATTGTCCTGGTAGGTTTGACAATTTCTGATGAAATGATAATTATAATGCAACATACAGATTTGTGGTAAGTAAAATTTTTATTATGTGTGTTGCTTCTTTATTTTCATTAGTTTCAGAATATCTTTTTTGAATAATGATGTAGACTCCTCCATGCTATTATTCAAATCTTGGCAAACTACAGGCCAAAGTTTGTAAAGTGTAAAGACAAATAATGACTTATCACATTTTGTTTAAGCTGCACTTATCTGGACTCCGGAGACTGACAGTGATAAATAAGAGTGTTTCTGTCGGGAACTCAGTCTTTAGACCACATTTTCAGTTTTTCGATCAGAACTTGTTTATTTATCTTTGTGAACTCGGATTATTCCTACTTATTTGCCAAAATAAAATAATTATTACCATGGAATAGTCAGTTAGAGACGCAAGTAGTTCAGTGGTGATAAACAATTCTCTCCATTTACTTAACGTCGTTTCAATAGGTATCACGCTTGGCTTGGCGGATACCACGTTCAAGTGATCAGCAGAAATTTTATCGACGTTAAATACTAGACACGGCACACTGACTACTCTAGATGATGAACTTATGTACCAGTTACAGTCAAAATGTTTCAAGCGCTGGGATGGACAGCTCTGAATTCAGCCCTAGGTGATGTCCGCTCATATTTTCAGGTGAGTATTCGTTTCTTTAGAGTTGTGAGATGAGCCATTTCTTAGCGCGTGAATACACTTAAGGGATTCCGACCGACCAGCACATTATTTGAAACATGTAATCTGTATAGACTGCCGTATCATTTATTTATGCTTATTTGATGATGCTAAGAAAACACGGAAATTAAATATTGAATTTCGTGCTAATTTCCTCAGTTGAAGGTGACACCTACTCATTATACGACGGGTAGCAGATGATGTTTGTCTACCTAACACATTACAGAAAACCACTCACTTGGTATAATACAGGATAACATTTATGAATGCAAAATATATTTTTTAAATAGGATTCATCTTGAAAACAAAACCAAGTATAGGAACAAACAGTTGGATGATTTATGCACAAAAACGACATTTAAATTGCCAAACAGGAACACGTTGAAGTATTAAAAGTTCTCTTGTTCAACTTTGCCCTCCATAAACATAAATGATATGGATATAAATAACAGTGCAACACACGCTCAAGTAATAAGGGCCAACCAAGCTGGCAGAAGGGTCTTCGTTGTTGCATTGCCACAACGCTTTAAACCTTGTCCAGCGAGATATAACACCTACCAGAGGGAAAGGTATAATGCAAACAGTGGGAATTAGAAGATTAATCACTGCATTCATATTTACATTAACCTTAGCTAAAGAAAATTAGAGGAATTTCCACGCTAAAATAAGATCAACTGTGGTACGGAATAAATTCAGACTGTGTAATCATGACAGACATATATATATATATATATATATATATATATATATTTGCTGTTGGTTACAAATGTTGTATATTTTTATTCCCTTGGATTCCGACTGGAACAGTGGGCTTCTGCAGTACATCTGTATTTCATCCTCGTGATCTGCAGTCGTCTACAGTTGGCTTCATAGATACACATAAGCGCTCACCTTCTTCACAAAAATATTCGTTCAGACCATATTCAGTCGATGATTTTTTTGGCGCGCGAAGTCACTCAACTGTCTTCTGCAGTCCATCACAGTTTTTGTTTGTGTATTTTACGGACAACAGGTTCTTGGTTGATCTAGTGACAAAGTTTCTTCCTTATTATCCATTCTAGCCAGCCATTTGATCTTCAGTATCTAGCCGTCAATGGCAGACTGTTGATGAAAGCCTGCAGCTATCTGTTCACAGTGCCTTTGTTACATGTTCACCAAGTCTCTGGACTATTCAGAATCAGTGACCGGTCTGACATCAGTGTTGAAATGTTGAACAGTGTTCCTTCCCTTAACTGAAGAAGACTCTGAAACTGATTTCAGAGTAAAGAATATCTGTCAACCTTTCATCATTCTACCTCTGAGATTCTCAGACATGAGAACTCAAGTTCAAACGATGCTGCCCAAAAAAGTAAAAGAGGTGAACCCATTCAAATTTGTTTTGTTGATCCAGACCAGTTGGAGTAAGCTTATTTGTAGTCCTACCTACAATGATTCTTTTTCCGTATTTTTGATTTTTCTTGTATAACATTGAATGTATGCGACATCATGCATAAATCATCAATGAACTTCAGATCTTCAAGGATCTTATTATGAAGCCAAATTGTTTCCGTCTTCTGCCATCCAGCGATAATAAGTATCCTGAACTTCCCTCTTCATTTCGATGGCATCGCACAGCTTTTCCCTATGATTCACTTGAAATGTACCATTTTCATATAGCTGTTGAATGACGTTAGTAACAGTTATGCGCAGTTTATTGTATTGAAGCAGTTTCGAAGTCGTTTCGGGGTCAACGTTGTTGATGGCCTTTTCAAATTCGATGAAGTTGATGCAGAGATTTGGCTTCCATCTAATTCTTTGCTCGATTATGCAAAGGAATCTAAAACGATTTCATTTCCCTGAAATCTGCTTGTTTGAGGAAGTGATTTTAATCAGTAGCATCGTTTAGTCTCTCCGGGATGACAAGAATTATTACTTGATTCTTTCTCTTTTATTCCAGCGAAGGGTAAGTTTATTTTTGTATTTGTGGTGAATTTCGAAATTCTTACAGCGATTAGTTCCATTTTATGAGGTGGAGATAATGAAGTGATCATGTATTCCAAAACTGATATATGTTCATTAAATCTTTAAGCGAATCAGATTCATTATTCACGAATTACGCAACTGTCACCAGTCTTCGATGAGATGTATTTCGATGCTGTGTCAAGGAGAAGATCCTTAATTTCTCGCCAGTTTGTATAATTTTACTTACATTTACCGCAGGAGATATTAAAACAAGCGATTATCAGTGTATGCAGTTACCTGGTAATTGAAAAATTCGGAATGAAAGACAAATAACACATGAATATCTTCGAAATTCAATGTCTGACCCACAAGTTGTATAGCGAAAGCCAAGGACAGTCCAGTGGAAATGTATGCAGTTTTCTGCAAGTAAAAGGTAGAAAGCAATATTATTACTTCAATTTCGACTAAAATGAAATAATACTCAATCTCAAATATGAACGAATTTACATTTATCTCTTTGATATCCACTACCTGACTACAAAATATTTACCTTCTGTATATCTGGTGGTAAGTATGATGTATGAATACTATACAGTTAATCCTTTTTAGCGCCTCTAGTCATCTGACATAATAATTATAGCTTTATTCTGAAACATAAGTCTATTTATAATACAGAATTCTCAGAGACCTTCATTGGAAGATGCATACTGGTTGTACATTAACTTTTATTAATATATATATCAATGACACAACAAGCGGATAAATTTTGTTCCAGTCGAAACTTATTCCAGTACACCTCCGAAATTTTCTGACTCACTTGTCTTCGAGGAGTTGCCTAAGGTAAGAGGAAATTTATTCGAAGTTGTGCGCGAGCATAGATTGTGTTTCATGATGTTAGTGTGATCATTAAAACTATATGAAATGGATGAAACACTAAATGTTCTGAAGAATGGAAAATTTATGTACCCACTGATTTAATGCTAACACGGTGCCCTCAAATCTGTCAAATTTGAATCCCAATTATTAACCTCATCAATTAATGAGGCGGTTACGAGAAGCATCCATAGAATCTGTTCTTCATCAATGACCACAGAAGCATCAAAATATCTTCTAATACCATCATGCTTCAACAAATCCAATTCACATTTGAAATATATAAAATAAAGGGTGACTGATAATAACAGCGAGGATTCAGATTCTCCTACTTAAAAATTCTTTGGATGAATTAACTTGTTACTTACTTCAAATTTGGAAAGTCTAAAAGCAATAAGGAGGACGACACTCAAAAGAATCATTCCACAAGCAACGCCCATTAGTATTATTCTCTTTTTTGCACTCTGCTTTTCTGTTTTGCAACCAATTATCAATGGCACCACAGCTAGAATGATTGTAATCCCCCATGGTACAATAATAAAACGTCTCAAAATTGTGGTTATAGTATGCAATGCCAAAGACCATAACAAAACCTACAATATGTTTAAATTAAATTAAAAATTAAATTAATAAATAAATAAAAATCTAAAGTTATAAGAAGGACTTCAGGGACGAATTCACACTCAAATACATGTAACATATGAGTACAATCGCAGTATGTGACTGCATGATGATTGGTTGTTAACCAGGTCGAAATATGATATAGTATGCCGTCCTTCTCCAGCCTATTTTTGTTGATATGATTTGTTTTGCGTTTTCACGCAGTTCGCTCAGTCTACATGTCTATAAAACTATGGAAGATTTTGCAATCAGCAGGTTGATTATGCCGTCTTAGTTTCCTTCTTTGCATTTAACGAATAAAACGACTCAAAACATATGGATCCATCAATGTGACCTCTAAAACAAATAGTGTTATTCTATATGATAAAATATAACCACGTGATATCCCTTTTAAAACTTTGCCTCGTATCTCATAAACCTAGAGGCTTTCAAACCTGCATCAACTTACTAGTGTTATTACAAAGAGATTGACTGGCGGTTTCTGGTAGTGTGCAATTTTTTTGACTTCTGTTGACAACAGTCCAACTGCTCGATGAGTCAGCAGCTTAGTGAATGTGTATTTGAAAGTAACTATTTCAGTGACTGATTGAAGTATCTGTTATTTCGTCTGCAAACAAACATTCTGGAAGTCGCTTGAGGCTAACAGGCCTACTCTTCAACGAGTCATTTGGATTTATCAGTTTATTTGAGTCAAACCTATTCTTAGTCATTTTATTGCAAAAACATGGAGCGATGACCTACTGTAGCATGGTGCCTCTGTGACCTAAAGGTTTCTAGTATCATTCGACAGGAGCCCTCTATCACCCATATTTTATCACTAAACATATCGGTCGGATGAATGCACACCGCTGGAGACAAATTTTACTGGTTAGGTCGACCTATTCACCTCTTTTTTACTGTGTGAACAGTGAGTCATAGTTTTATTCTATGAAGTAACATCTTTCAATGTATTTATGACCAGTCTGACAGTTTTTTCGCCAACATGTATGTGTTTCATACTTTGGTGCATGTCCATAGCTTTTTGTGAAATTGTCGTTATTTTGTGGGAAAGAAACATGCATTCAATAGTTGAGTCTTCGAACTCACCGAAAGTGCTATAAGTATTTCATTAAGTGGAAAATCTTCTTCCAGTTTCTGGAAAATGGACAACGGCAGTACAGGAATCGCACCAAGTATTCTAAAAGAGAAGATGACAGAACTGTTTAGCCAAAGAGAATCAATAACATCATTCATCAGCATTTCATGAAGAACTACATACTATTAGCGACTGTTTCAGTTCAATCATTACAATGACACTGTTTGAATTCAAGCAAAGTTTGTACATACATAGTTCATGAGAAAACGACAAAATAACTGTAACACACAATTCACCTGACAAATAAATTAACATAACTAATTTTTAATCATTGTAAGGAAATGTATGATACAATTTATATCAAATGACTTACAAAAACACCAGTGGCATGTAGAAACTTTCGTACAGATATCTAAGAGATTCACTGAGATCATAGTTATGAGAAAAGAACCACTACAATACAGTCTTACGTGTTTGCTACGCCTGTTGTAGTAATACCGTCACCAAAATCATTAAACACGTGAAAAAGATGTATTTGATTTGATTATATGTTTCAGTGTAAATGCGTTAATTTGCCTACCTTTCGGAAACACTTTTGTTCAGGAGTGAGTCGAAGATTTGTATTTTATCAATAAAGTCGTGTGCATTTTTCGACATACCTTCAATTTTGCGTTCATGTTTATCTTTCACGTAGTCCTGTAATAGAAAATTGGATTAGCTTTCAATTGAAATATCTGAAATAATCAAATGCAGCCTGTGAAGCACAAGTGTTTTTGATACCAAGATGATTATACAAAAGTTACTATTAAACCAAAGAATAGTAATCATTTTAAGGATCTCTAAAAGAAATTACACTTCACAGATTATTAAGGATCGTGGTTTTCAGGGTCGTAGTGAAGTCGGAAATGTGTTTTGGGTAAAGTTAATATTCTCTAAAACACCATTCTCGGAAGGCGAATCCTACTGGGGCACATTCGAATTTAGGAAGCAACCCTCCAGAAGTAGATGCATCCTTCTTTGCGTCCTTTGAAGCGATCTGTTATCGGTGTCTTGAATCCGGTCTTCATGGATTGTGAGACTGCCTAAACTGACCAGAATATCTTAAATCGATATATTAGCTAGAGGGTGTTGTCATGGGTAGAATAGCATACCCTAAACTGTGCTGCGTTCCGACTAATAAGCCCTTAGCTTACCGTGCTCTAGAATAACATCAGTCAGGAATGTCTTTAGCGGTTTGACAATGATGCTTGTTGGATTTTCACATTTCATTCATGCAGTGCCTGGGAGAGAATCCTACACTTTCATCGCTTTATCACCATATCCTCTGAATGGATCTTTTCTTACTTTATTTATCAATATATTATGATCTTAATTTGTGTGTCAGAATTATCTGTTATACTGATCGCAGTATGAATACCAACCACTCAGCTCACAAAGTACTCCAGGTTTCGGTCACTGGTAGATATATATATGTACTTAATCTGGTGCTGTATTTACTTTGGTGCTCTGAACATCTGACAGTTTCCGTTTTCCAATGAATGAAATATTCCCATATTGAGTCATAAGAAAAGGCACAAACAGCGAAGAAAGTTTTCAGTTTTCAGCTGAGGTAATATCCATGGGAGTCGCTATGTGACAAACCTTTCGGAACTACTTTATCGTGAAGATTTTACAACGTGAAATCAGATGTACCATTGTTTCTCAAAATCTAAATTCATGTTTATATGCAGTATCGTTCCGCTGGACACATTATAGTTAAGTTGTGTTTCGCAAAATACAATCCATAACTGATAAATACTTCAATCAAACTATTGTAAACTCATCGATATCTAAACTCACCTGATGCTGAGTTGATGGACTGCTATTGACTTTTCATATTCCTTGATTTATATGTTTCAAAGTAAACCAATGCAGTGTGTATGCGTAGGAGGCATAAGCTTTTAGTGTACTTTGAACAGCTTCATACCTGCCCTTAGTATATTAATCGTCATGAATATATTCTGCCTTATGTAGTCTTGATGATAGTTATTTTTATTCTTTTAGTATTTTGAACCAGTAAAGAATGAACAACTCTATTCTTGTTTACATTTCACCACTGTTTCTATTGAGCCCTTGAGTTCTGAGTGAAACACAGAGCCTCAACTACAAACCATCACTTCGTTCTGTTATTGACAGTACTTTTCAGCTGATCACGGCCTGCATCCACTTCTCGAAGGATTTCCTTCATATTTGCGTTGGAAGCTCAAGTGGTCATTCAACCATTGACTTTCACTCGGGTGATGGCCTGAGCATGATCCTACTCAATGCTCTCCTGAGGAGGTGTCCAACGCGACTCTTTTTTCTTCAACATATTTGCTGAGCGGCAGATTATCAGTTCAATTGTTTATGCAGTTCTTTGACAAATAAAATGAAAACATAAAGACTTGTTAGCGACCAAGACGTAACTATCCTGTTTATTTTATTCTTCAGCGATATATTCAGTGTTCTCTTTGAGGTAATCCAAACGACAATCATGAAGAATTTGTAGAAGGATGCCTTTTTATAAATTTGAGAAGATATTGGTACATTGGATCCATTATATATTGTTGGTTCTCATCAGCAAAGTACAATCTTTAACGTTTATTAAATAAAGTCAGTGTTATATGGCATAAAATTTCGTTTATCAACAGATATATTATAAGAGCGTTATAGTGAGATAAAACATCAGGATAATAAGACAAATAAAGTAGGAGAGTGCAAACATACGTCTATTTACGTATCTACCTCGACAAAAGTTTGTCGAAAATTATTTGAAGAATTCGTAGTCTATGTTGGTAACAAAAAATTAGTAGCATTTACCTAGTTAGACAAGACAAGACCAAAGGTTTATTTCCAGGATGTCAAAGAGAAAAATAATGATGTAAAACGGTGGGTAAAACTCCGCACGTCCAAAAGAATAATCTCTTATGGAAGTCAAACAGATAAAATCGAAGGAATTGAAAATATAAGTTCGGGAAAAAATGAATTCGGGAAATCCATCATCAGGTTCCGTTTGATTTAATAGCTCAGGTTTCAGACGTTTTATTGAATGGGACTGCGCTTATTCATCCGTTTATGGTTTTTATAAGAACATCATCGAGTTTGATGAAAACTGGCTTCTCGACGACCGTAACGGCATCAGGTTTCTTTCGTTCATTTTTGCCATATTTCTTAGTGAAGCTTTGTGAGAAACCAATATATAAAAGGATTTTTCAGTAGATTTTAGTTCGCTGTCTAATCTTGCAAATGAACATACACTTTTTACTCCAGAGAAAAGCTTTTTCACAGGTGTTCTTTTGTAACTGACTGAGGAAGAGCTGTTGATAGTTAGGTACAGACAACTCCATGCAACTTTATGATATATCGATATCTCTAATGTCCGACCAGTTTCTTTCCAATTTTATATCTAAGGAGTGTAAACCGTCGGCGCTTTCCGCTCCATCGTGGAAGTGATAATCTTTTGTGCACGTTTGAGAAGCAGAATAGAAATGAAGTATAACTCAATTCGTCGCATACAATTGAAATTTAATCTGTCTCAAAGTCGAGTTGTCTGTCCAAGACTAGACAAAGGAAATATCTCCTGATACGAGGCTGAATGGGCTCCCCATCACCGCTCTATCAACCTAGCGATGCATTGTATTGTCCTATAAGATTTTTACGTCCATGGTTGACAACAAGAAGAGCTGTCCATCAACCTTCAGTAATTCTTCACTTCCCGAATTCATTAACTTTTCTTTATAATCCTGTCCCTTTTATCTGTTCGACTTCCATGAGAGAATATTCTTTTGGACGTGCAGAGTTCTGTACACCATATTACATCATTATCCGGCTATAAACACATATAAACACCGTGTTTTTTGACTTGTACGTGGATGTAAACACTCAAAAAACGTTAACAAACAAATCAGGCACGAAAGAGGCCTTTGCATTTTACTATCAAATATATGAAGCATTCTTTAACAAGTACCTATTGAGTATGATTAGACAAGAGTTAGGTGCCTTTAGTGACTCAGAAATCTATCATGCTTTCCAAGGGCAGATTAAATGATAATCAGATACGTTTCTGTTAAAACAAGCCACACATACTACGGATGATTTTGGATAAAAGTGCTCCACAGCAATATGCTTCGTTGTTTGAATAAATTTCATTTTCACGTTTATAGTGAGGTGACCACTATACACGAAACGATCATCATAAGTTGACATTTGAGAGAACTTAACAATATTGCAAGGAAAATTCGTTCAGTTCTCCAGTTTTTGCTGTATCTTAGGCACAGTATTAAAGTATTGAATTGAATTTTTGATTTTCCCGTCGATTGTTTGGACCGAAGTGCTCGGTCTCAGGTTGACATGCCGGCTTCTTGTGCAGATGCTTCGACGATGTCTGGGCATCCACCAATTGTATACAGTATTAAAGTGATGACGAAAAGAATTGCTCTGAAAGACAAATGCGAAACTGAGGAGTGAATTTCAGGGGTGTACTTTATAAGCATATATACCTATCCGTAGTTTTATGACTGCACATCAGTTATTTCTATGGTCTATCATACAGTGTAGAATGAGTATTTCTGGCACTAATTATGCAACAGAATACGTTCCTGGCCATCACATTATCTCATGCTTCAGATGAACTGAATGTTTTTCATTCAGTTGAACAATGTGCACGTAATTACTGGTTAACATCAATACATATAAAACTCAGTTGCATAAATGTCTTTTATCACTCGAATATAGTAGAATGTGAGACTCACATGCAAGTGACTGCTTCAATGTACCACAACTTCATCGCAAAGTATTTCTCTGATATGAAGAACAAGAAATTCATTTTAAGTTTGAGGTGAAACGATATTTGTGAGGGTTTGTTTTGAAGTCGCTTATCATTCACACTCACATAATGTCGAATTCGGACAGTTCAATCAGCTGTCAATGTGGTTGTCACTACTTGTCGCTACTGTTTTAATCATGAAATCACAACATTGCTTTCCTAATTTTAATATTAGTTCAGTGAGAATTTCATGTGTAAACATAAGACGCAAACAACAAACCTCTCAGGAACAAAGTACGTTGAATTTGCCCACATTCAAAAATCCTCTAATAAACCAAGTATCTACCGCCTTTAAAACTAGTGGTTTACTTAATATATATATATATATATATAAATGATGTAATAAATTGTTGAAGTAACACCTCCCTATGAGTGAAGGAAGTGAGCTGAACACTAATATATTCGTGATTTCATCAAACGACAGCAAAATCATATTACTGATAAACAAAAGAAGGTGGATAACTTAATAGTGAATAAAATATGATTTATCTCTGAAAAACAGACTAGTGATATGCGAATAAGGTGCTCTTGCATATATATATATATATATATATTCATCTTATTCTTTGAAACTTTGATCCAAACTTCCGAACAAAAATATTTAGATTAAATATTAACTCAAAATTATAGAACTTTAAAATTATGAAATGTAAGAAATACATACAAGCATAATAAATAATGACGTCAAATACATTCAGAATTATTCCTAATTTTTTTGTTGTTTTGAGTGGATTCTTATTGCATTACCGCATAATCGCTGTACGGACTGACATTAAATGTGGCTAAATATGTTGAAATATGCCTAGTGAAAGTCTGTTATCAAATCTCTTCTCTTCTGACGTTATATTTGAAATATAAAAGCGCCATTGACATTCAAGTTAAAGATTTCATTCAGCCGCGAATATTCCCGTGGGTCAATCGCAAAATGAACAGGACTATTTGAAGTATTTAAAAAACCCATGGACAGTATAATGAATAAGCTGTTCTACCAGATTGAATGAAGTTACTTCTTGTACGTAAAGGGAGAGATTTACTCTCACTACGAATATAGTAACGAAAGAGATTAAAGTTGATAATTATTTCCAACTTGATATGAATGTTTGAATCTGTGAGTTTAGACTACACAAGGCATAGAAACAAATTACTATACGATTCGAAAATGACTGAGAAAATATTAAACGACTACCGGTGTAGACATTATGAGCATAGAAAATAATTGATGACAGGAGACGTAATATCATCATAAAAATTTTCGGAACGGTGAACGGCAAAACTACTCCACCAGATCCAATACACTAGAACTCGAAACACAGTGGCTAAGAGGAATGCAAATAAGCTTAAAACTTTTCTAAAAACTTTCAAACCACATAATTTTACACACCACTAATGCTACTCAAAGTGCAAAAGACAATGAATACAACCGAAGATACATTAAAGGTACATAGGCTATCAACCAATGTAGAGCAGCGAATAAGCGACAATTTTACCTGATTCGATATGCTCAAACATGGAGCAGACAGACAAGGGAATGAGGTTAGCAAGATAATAAGACTGTTTTCAAAAGATACCAAGTGAAAACCGAAAGAATTTACAAGCATTGATAATGCCGATTTTAATGTAAAGGCTTGAGAAATCAAAGGCATATTTCATGTGTTTGTTTTGCCTCTACTTATAATTTCAGACAGTGAGGCGGCAGTCAAGACCAAAGTCCTCAAACAAATAAGATATTCTTTCCTAACTTCTACCTGATACAAGAGTGAAACAAAACAGAAACTGTAATGTACTCGTCGCCAATTTTCTTTCATGTACTGCTGAGTGGTTAATAGTCCTGACGCGGAAGGAGGAAAATCAGAAGACCACCTCGTTCAAGAAGATACTTGTATTTTCCAAACAAGGAAATAATGACTGTGACACAAGTGTGTGAGTGAGGGGTACGTAGTGTATGAAATGTGTGAACAAGTGTACAATACAAACGTATATACGAAAATGACTAATATACATGAGCCAATAGATAGACAGTCCTACCATAATTGGTTGTATTGTCATGTGACAACAAGGTCATTCATTGTTTATTTAGTTAATGGACAGACAAAAGTATATTGTCAGTTATAATGGAATATCGATCCATATACACATAGCAAAATATAACAGGCTGTCAAAAACAAAACACACATCATGTGACTACATTTCAGACACACGGTTAAATATTAGAAAGCAAAGGAACAACTTATTTTTCTCGCATGGAATGATATGAGTTTCATAGGCATTATTTTAACAATAAATGTAAAGAAATATATAAATTCACGATTTCCGTTGATTCAGCTCAAATTCTGAAACCTTCTCAATATCGATTATAGGCAGTGTTAAGCAAGAGACTTACAAGATCTATTTATAGCTCCGTTTTAGCACATCTTGCAGACACAGATCACAAAGGTGATGTTAATAAAGCAATTAAAGTTAAATAACGCATTTCTACTCATCATAGATTTGCTTTACGAGTTCGTTTTCTATGTACAGCTGACACCATATGAATACACTTGAAGAAAAACCAGCCTGTGTGTGTTAGAAAAAGGTCGTACAGTCGCTTACCTTCTTCTAGCGACCGTTACGTGAATGTAAGAAACTGAAAATTTCAGCGCCACCCTTTCAGAATTTGTAATTTTCTTAATAATTCGGTTTGCTTCATCTTTTATTTTTTATTAAGCAATCAACTCGAACAATAACTTGTTCCTCACTTACTGTTATTCAAAATCTTACTCACTATACAGTATAATTGTTTGATTTTTGCAATTATTTCTACCTCATTGTCATTGCAATAATTTCCTAGGTTAATCATCACTTCCGCTAGTGTTCATTTGGACTCGTTAGTATAAACCAACTTTCAGAAAATAGCACTCACCCTACCCACTTTTCGTGAATGCCCAACACTTATTTGTAGCTGCCACATAATTTTTCAGTGTCAAAACTACTAAAAATCCACTAAATTAAGCATCGTTGTGAGGCGTCTGAACTGTCACTTTAGACATCGAGAGGTCTCTGACCAACTCTTCTTACTCGTCACAGAAGATGTGCACTATTTGTTGCGGTGATGGTGGACGTTGTGGTCCGTGATTACGAGGTTTCCCTTCGGTATACTAGAACCATATGTCCTGCAGTCTATCGAGTCGCTTTGTTATATATATGTATATAAAGCGTACCTGAAACGCACTGATGAAGTATTATCATGACAACTTTACGATGGAGGTGACATATTTTAGTGTCACATATTATGCTCTTCACTTTCTGTAGTATCACAAGACTCGTACTTAGTAATATAGCGTGGCGTAGCATCAAACCATCACGCCGTGTTGAATTCATGGCGATAAACTGGCAGAATCACAATAAATCAGAAAATCGATGAAAATGTGATATCAAATTCGATTAAACGTGAAAAATATTTTAACGTATAGAAAAAGCTTTCACAGAACAAAACGGTCTATTCATAATCAAGATCAAAGTTCTAGTTTTAAATTTATAAAGAATTAATCTAATATAAAAGTCTTGAATTACTCCTTTATTCATGGGTATAACGATTTCAAAAGAAAGACAGGTAAGTTCTGAGTGACAGCTGAATTTTAATCTCCGTTAAACATTTTAACTTTGTTAATATCTGCATCTTTATTGACTTGTTCATGTTAGCAGTTTTAATGAAATTGTATGTAGTCTACCCGATAGATATTTTGGAAAGTTTATGCTCATGAATGATACTTGACAATAATTTTGTATGACATATAATTAGATTCTCTTGAAAGTAAGATCATTGAGTGACTTTTTCGATTAGGGAATCTTCTGAGTAACATTGTCCTGATATTTCGCACAATTATTTAGACACCAGGTGCAAGGGATGATGTGGTATGCATGTTGACCAACAGACAATTGACATGTTTTGATAAAAATGGCAAAAAACATGGAATACAAAAGACGACACTTGGGTTACTTATCGCGTATCTTTCTGATAGGCAGAGGTAAGTTGGTCTAGTGACATGTTACTATCTCGTCGATCGAAATTCGAAGTGGTCTTAGAAAACATTTATGTAGGTTGGGCGGAAAGTCCAGTGGTGCAAATTTTTCGGTTGAACGTTGGTCTGAAATACCCAAACTCCGAAAGAACACAATTAAAAAGACAAAGTTTAATTATCAAACGTAGCCCCATCGTATAGCTTGCCCTTTAACTTCAAGATATCCTGGTGTTTATCAACCACCTGGGGAAGAAATTAGGTATGATATGTTTTAGAATAATGCTGACATAAAATTAATAATACGGTTATAGTTAGTGATCTTTATATTTATTCAGATAACAAAGAACTGTAGAATCTCATGAGAGAATCTTACATGCAGACATATAGTTTAGCTTAGAAAATGTTCACTGACATAACTGACGCTACTTGAGCGGGAAAAGAATTTCAGTCATTGACTACTCTATGAGAGAAGCCTAATTTCACCGGTTTCTTATTCATCTGAAGTTTGAGCATATTTTCCTGGTCACCTTGGAAGATATTCTGGAGAAAGAGGAAAGGTAAGAAATGCCGATTCCCAAAACAGCCTCTGACATGCGATATGACATAATCAACTCACCTCTCCTCCTTTGGTATGATTAAAGGCAAAGACTCATATATGTTTCGCCCACTTCTTACAAGAAAGGTGTGGGATACCACTGATCACAAATTTGGTTCCAGGTGTCTGTTCTTTACAAAATATGTGCTTCCTTCTTGAAATACAGAGTAACTGCTTCTCTCTTTACAGTACTCAAAATGAGACCTAACTTATAATTATACCACTGTTGCAATAGATATGGAATCAGAAGCCAACACTGCTACGTTTCTGATGCATCACTGAAGTGGAAAAAAGAGACTCCCAGTTAGTAATTTCGGGTGAGTAAATAATATTATGCTAATAAGTGTTTAAATATTCTGTTCCCCATGCCCCTTCTCATTTTGCACTAGTGACTATTGAATTCATTCATCCTTAAAAACATTGTTTCTCTTAATGAATTTCATCGAATTCTATCTATAGGCGAAGGCGCGAGATATGACAGTTCGAGAAAACTGCACTTGAGCAGCCGCTATTTACTCTTACTATGGGTAAGAAAACAATATTTTGTTTTTGTCTTCATTCTCCCTTAATTTTGCCTCACACAGATGATAGCTGATACGGCGTTTATGATACTAATTACAGTAGGAATGTTTGTAATGGTGAACAAAGAGTAGGAACAAACATTTAAATTATAAGATAAAATAAAATAATTTAATGCTCTTTGGAGTGGAGGTGAATGAATGGATTAGATTGAACAGCTGGGTGGGAATCGTTCTAATGTAAGTGCATTTTCTGTAGGATAAATAAACACGTTGAGCGCTCTAATGTTTTTCAACTGTTTCGTGGGTTGTTTGCTTATCGATCTGCACCCGTGAACAGTAGTCGTCTCGAAGAGTATCCTTGACATTGTCACAATTTTTCAACGTTGAGCATAAAATATTTTTTTGATTACAGCTTGATTACACACCGTATTTTCTATACAGCTATGGAATTTTCAGCATGGATATCGGTAGCCCAAATTTTGCAGGCCGACCATAGATATCAGGTGTGCGTCGGCAGCGGATCGAACCTTGGACTATGTGCATGGTCGGTGAGAGTTCTAACCACGCACCAACGTGTTCAGAATCTTTAGAAGAACCTTCTGCACACTTGGCCGAAATTTCATTCATTTTCCAGTTCAGAATTACCACATAATATTTGCATGTTTGAGTCACACCGGTTTTCAGTGTTTACCCTGAGTCGAAACATTTACTTTGGCGTTCCTCAACATCTTACTTGTAACGCGAAAGATGATCAGTGACTAATTATAGTTCAGGAGAATCACTCTTACAACAACTGTAAAATTAAATCGTTTTGCTTTTTATTCATTGGGAAATACAAAACCTTTATTATAATAAACTCTATTCTTAAATGTCTGAAATATTCAATCACCTTCAAATAAACACTATCATTTGTTGAAATGTATATTACTGTAGCATCGTCTACACTAAGGCGGTTATATCATGACTAACGACCATTATGAATGGACATACTCAGAATATTTCAATAATTTATTTGTAACGATTTCATCAACATCAATCGAACCTTGACTAGTCGAAGGTTATTGCTATGGAATGTTATTGTGATAAACGGAATGATAAGTGTGTGGAACTTGTGGGCTAAGCAATTTCAGTTATACTGAATGCAGTAAATAAAGATGGCAATAAAGACGTTTATTCATTTATTGATTCAATCACGATAAAAATAAAAGGAATATTACCAATCAGATAATTAGATAACGTACAAAGGAGAGTATTGTTCACTATTTGGATTATAGTCAGTGATAAAATGTCTTCTTGGAGGTGAAATGTTCAAGCTTGGTGATGAACGATATGGTTAGGTATAGTGGAGCTACTAATATCCAGGTAATTGGAGCCAGTCTAACTGGTAGGAAATAATTTGACAGCCTATCCTTACAAAGTTTTAAGCTTTGACCAGGGCGTATGATAAGAAGATGAAGTAGAGTCAAATAAGAAGTTCTTTGTATGATGGAGAAGATATTCAACTCAGGTGGATGGTTTCGATGCAGTTGTGTTCACTGCGCTCGATGGGAAAATCTAAAAGCCCACTTTGAAATGAAGTGTGCGCTGAAGATGTTGCGTGGTAGAGCAATTAAGGCTCCTAAAATAAACCATTTATCACAGAACAAAACTACTTGAAAAAAGTGACGGTTCGTTTCAGCATATCATTTAGAGGACAATTGAACACCTGGACTGTGTACTGAACAGCTGTATTGTAATAGTTTGACACTAATAGGTAGTACGCAATCACTGAGTTTCAAAATCAGGATGTTGTGGTTAGAGAGCGAGCTCATAGAAAGATACTAGAGCTTTCACCGTGAAAATGATTACTCTATTCCTAGTGATGTAGGTGGAACTTGTATGTGAATGAATAAATGCTTTCTATGTGAATTTCACCACTAATCAATAACCTTCATACAACTTCATGCATTTTGATAATAAAGTAACCAACCTGAGAATAAATGCCTTCATATTTTCATCTTGAATAAACAAACAACATATTCTTCAAATGAAATATATTAGGTTTGAATGAAATAATTTTATAAATTTTTACAAGTTGGTCACGGATTGATATCTGTTAAAGAACGATTGTAAACCAAGGAGTAATGGACAGCTGTTTCATCCTAGTTTGGGTGCGTACTGCCAATGGTTCTCAAACTGGATGTGCAGAACTCCCTGGTTTTCAATAGTTGTCTAACTGACTTCAATCCGTGATCAACTAGTAGAAAAATTCTAATCCTTACACACCAGCTATTGAAAACTTTTTAAATGTTAACAAATTTTACAATCCAGCTTACCACAAATAGTCCAAGACCCAAAAGTGCTCCGAAAACTGTATTTGCAGTATCCTGTTGGTAGAAGAAATAATAGAAAGAGCATTGTGGACTAATAACTAATGAAACAACGGCACACACTATTTCAACATGTCAACAAGAATCGCCCAATTATTCTGGTTTGCGTTGTGTGTGGTTGCATCAAATCGGGGATCACAAATCAACAAGTATTCCTATTGATTCCCTTTCTTAACCCATGAACCTTAACTCAAAAACTCTTTCTGGATGAAGTAGTCTACATAATGACTGTTATCACCTGTCGCCTAATGCAAATCTGGGAAGAAAGATGATTTATCGGCTACAGAAATGGATTCACAAGGCTGTAACTCGTTATCATAATGGTTGCACTGGTTTAATCAAAGATCATGTCAAAATTATATCTGTCAGACATATTGAGAAGCACTGTTATTGGTCCAAAAAAGGTCAATCATTCGATCAATTAATTAAATGATACTTACTCGAAAGGAAAGATAGTATAACACGGAAAGCAAAATTGCTCCGAGGAGTAGACATACAGAAATCAAATAGTTCATAACATAGAATCCTTTCTGATTGAAACGCCTCATTTTATAACCCAGTATCAGTGATATTGCAGTCAGCATCATAGTCAAGGTCCATGATAACAAACTCCAGAGTCCAACATTCTATATTATAACAGTTAGGCCACACGATGAAGTTAATACCTGGAATATGTAAATATTATATTGCATTCAGGTGATCATTATTATTATTTTGGTGACCTTACTAGTAATTTCATATAAATGTGTTTGTTGGATATGTAGTTACATACAGAGAAGCGGTATTAGTTGCTGAATCCTTAACCGTCAGACTGTTCAGATCGAACGGACTAGTGAGAAGCACTATGAGAAACAACAGTTTCAACAAACTCACAGAATCAGGGCATGCAAACTCACAAAATACACTGCCTTCGTCAAGAGGAAGATCAACCTGACATTCTGGAAGGAGTTATATTTCGCAGCAAGGTTATAATTTCTCATTGTGCACCGGATCGCTTTAAGTCTCATCAAATTGTTGAAGCTGAAAATCATCAGTAAACTTCAGCTGGAATTAATTAAAGTGATAATAATCTGGTTTATTCTAAAAACAATACCAAAAACAAAACATGGTATCGTCAGCATTTGTCACAATATTGCATCTGATTTAATCGGAATGCAAATAGAGGTAACCACAGCAATTTGTCCACATTTACGATAGGAATAAAGCCAAAAATTAGCAAAGTACAAAATGAGAGTTATATTGTAACAACAGAAGACAAGGGCCAGTCAACAGATCGTTTTATTATGAAAATCAACACGTATTTATACATATTTCACATACATTATTATAGCTTATGCAAGTAGACAAGCGCAGTCATCTGATTGGTTGTTTATCAGAAGTTAGGCAGACAAACGCAGGCTTCTGATTGGTTGTTTCGGGATTCCTCGACAAATAGAGTTCTCTATCTGCGAGTCATATTTCGCCACGTTAACTTTGCTGTGATTGGTTGTTGAATCAGCCTTGCTCATATTTTCTCACGGCCTGCTCTCACCACACTCATCCCCCGTCAAATACGTGCGACTGAAGTCGGCTTGATCTACTTGGTGGAGGCGTCATCGTTGGCTTGTCTCGCTGTATCCATTTCTGGAGCTCGCTGACATTCATGCGCCTCTCATTGTTCGTCATTGCGATTGTGTCCACGTAATCCCATCTCAAAGTGACCATATGTGGTCCTTCCCACTTTGGAAACTGTTTGCCTGACCCTGTCGAACATTCGTCAGTATTTCGTCTCACACTTTCATATGCTGCTTTCACCCGACCTCCCAGCAGCGTCCCAAGTAGCAGCTCCATCGCTGTTAGATCTTGAACGCCACTCAACTGCGCTGAAGCCTTGAAGTCCTGCCCGAAGATCCATATGTCTCCATCAAAAACAGCAGGGCATAGGCTTTCCATTTGTCGGTAGGCAGCGACACCAAATGTAACAACAGAAGACAAGGGCCAGGCAACAGATCGTTTTATTATGAAAATCAACACGTATTTATACATATTTCACATACATTATTATAGCTTATGCAAGTAGACAAGCGCAGTCATCTGATTGGTTGTTTATCAGAAGTTAGGCAGGCAAACGCAGGCTTCTGATTGGTTGTTTCGGGATTCCTCGACAAATAGAGTTCTCTATCTGCGAGTCATATTTTGCCACGTTAACTTTGCTGTGATTGGTTGTTGAATCAGCTTTGCTCATATTTTCTCACGGCCTGCTCTCACCACAATATCTCTACTGATAATAACATCTTGTTCTTTTAAGACAGAACTGGCGATACATTTTTGAAATTTTAGCATGTTGGAGGGTATTGAATCTGATATTCTCTTGAAATAGGATGGCTAGAGGGGAACAATAATTAATCATCATCTGATTGCCAATAGGAAGGTGTTCATCCTAGTACAGCCTAGCTAGGCGTTAACAGCATTGAAAGAGTTGGATCGTTCGCATACCTAATACTCACTTACCAATTTACACCGTCACCATCTTTATTTACCTTCCTTATCAAGTATCGAACATGCTGTGTGCCACGCTATCTGGTAAAGCATTCGGTTACGCATATTCTGCTACACTCTAAAGAATAATTGCTTAGCGCATCAAAAACTAACACTTGGTATCAAGATTTGCGAATAATATTCAACATACCAAATATATACTGCAACAGTGATCACCATTATCAGTTGACCGACAACCAAAGCACTGACAGAAACTAATTATTTCATTTTAAGTCATTATTTTGTATGTATTTAATTCATTTTCAGCAGCCAGGGGTTATAGAAAAAAACAGATTCATATACACACAATCATCGTCACAAATGGTACACTTACACTGAGTTTAGGAATAAAAATCAGCAGAACAGCAATGAATGCTCCAGTGAACCTGTAAAAGAACCAGTTAACTCCGTAATTCGCAGAATCTGTGGACGACTTTATCAATAAATAAACCAGTATGCACTTTCGTCAGTTCATCATCTCAATGACATGAGATTATATTTATGAACATTCACACAAAAGGAGAATCACGCCAAAATAACATGAATAATGTCTTACTCGGAGATGTATGTTATAACCACATTCATAGGAACTTACAGAAGTGTGATTGATGTATACCTATAAGAATCAAACAGATCACGGACTTTCATTCTAAAACAAAGATGTGAGTACAAGTTGTCACTTCACAGGCTTACATGTTCGCTACCAGCAAGGTCATTGTCATCGTTGTTGCAATCATTATACACAACCAGATGATGTACTTAATTGGATTGTTGAAACATATGAGCATTCCGACCTTCACAATACATTTTTTTGCGGACATCACTTTAGTGGTGGTTTCCTATAAATGGGGAGTAATTAATATTTCTGCATGCAAACCTTTAATATCCCTAACAGATTCACCTTTACAGGTAACGCGGAGAGAAAACAATTTGATTAGTTGTGAAAAGATATTTGGGAGAATTCATGGGTAAGATTTTGTTCAAGAGTAAACTTACGTGAATACATTATTTCTGATACAAATTTAGACAGTATTTACGACGTGTATCTGCAGGGTGTATCCACTTTATACCACCCCTATTATTTTACAAACGACAACATATACATAAATGGCTATGTGTCGTAATGCTTGTTTTTCAGAATACACTAATCCCATATTAGACTATCTGTCATCTACTCCAGTTTCATCACTTTGAATATCCAATCAAGAAAAAATCAAGATATTTGAAGATATTTTTGCGTACACAAATCATCTGCGAAGACTTCTTGGCGTGCACGATAATGTAATCCAATACTAGTGGCATCATCGTACAAGAACTATTTAGAGAAATCATAAAAAAGCTATACTAAGTATTATTGAACTAGAAGATGAACTCTTGAGGATTTGATGGCGACAATTTGGTTCTATTCATTCTATGCAGAAGATAAGGAAGAGAAAGCAGAAGGGATCAGATACACTCAATTATGACAGATTGATTTTTTTAATCTCATTTGACTTGTTCTGGATTCAAAATTAGATCATGAATGTGTTTAAGGGAAAAATAAAATAGAATGTTTAAGATAATAAGTAGAGCTTCATCACATTGATCACACGTATTTAGTGAAACACATCAAATGCTCTTTGAAGGCATATAATTCCTCTTTTCAACATCAAATTATGGTTAACCGTTTTGTGGAAACAAATTCTGTGGAAAATGGTCCAGGTATTACCTTTATTATTTTTATTATTACTTCTTTGCACTCAAAGTGTAACATGGAGCTTCAACGACACATCTCCAGTTTCTTCTATTTTCTGGTTTCATCTTTATGTGGATCCACGATTGCCCATAATCTCTGATCGCCTCCTCCAACTCACACAATCTCCGTCAACTCATCCTCTGACGACTCACTCATCATTTCACATTGAAACTCCACTAGATAGTTTGCATGCAGTGGGCGTGATCTCATTTAAAGTCATCCTAAAATATGCCTAACTGATAAAACTCCATTTTCTTCTATGTAGTTTTTTAGCAGTTGACTGTTACTTGATCCGTTGATCGACAGAGTTTCTTGTTACTAATTCTCTCTGACAAACCATTTGATCTTTAGTACGGAGCAAAGACAGCTGTTGATAGGTTCTACCTGCTAGGCGTCAAAATCAACGTTCAGTTACTTGAAATTATTGTAGTTTTATACACGTCAGAAAACTTGACTAATGCACGGGATTATTGTACAAATACATTCGGCAAGAGGGGTTATCAAAAGTTTCTCTAAATTACGGTAAGCTTTTTATTTGCAAATATCTATTGTCTTCAGCTTAGTTGCATCGGTTGCTACCAGTGAGAAATAACTTTGATCGTATAGCGATTTCGTAATAAAGATATGAACACTTTTCATAGGTTTTATTTCATTGTTATAATTAATCGAATATGAATGAGCTGCTGGGATGATGTTTTGATTATTTTGTTAAGTCGACAGAAATCTAGGAGGCTTCCAGAATTCTCACATTTACAAACTATGTAGAATTCACTTTATTTACTCAACAATGGTAACAAGGAGAAGAAGTAGAGTGAACTGAGAATTCTTCTTCAGGCTGCTATGAATTCGAATCCACAGTCTGTGCCAATTAGTAGCCCGATTAAAGGCAAATTAAAATACAAAGCAAAACGTATGTTGTAGCACAAATATCCAACATGAAATAATAACACTCAGTGAGTTAGTCTGGATTATCATTTAAATCCATATGATAAAATGCTTATGGTCAGTAAAAAATAAGACAGAACAAAGCGACTAATTTATCGATATGTTTGTGTATTCATACTCAAGAAAACATAAAGGTTTCAAGGGTGGTATGTAAGACAATGTAAATACTGCAGAAAAGCGAATCAACAAATTGTGTATGTGAGAGGATGGTTCAAAGGTGATAAATACAAAGAATAATGACAATAACGAAATAATAACAATCTTTTCTTGTATCAACAGAAAATCACTGTTAGTGGACGATTATCAGGTGTTTCATACATTTATTCCCCTTAATGAATTTGAACAAAGCAAAAACTAGAGTTTTAGCAGAATAATGTGGTACCATCATTTATTTCGTTGGCTTCTCATCAGTTGCTTACAGCCTAAATAAATTATGAGGTTTAAGTACAGATATGTTTTAACATACTAGCAAATTTTACATGTTGTCAGTTGACAGAAAATTCCACAATTAGTAAACAGTGCTCAGAAGATTGCGCTTATAT